TGTGTGTGTGTGTGTGTGTGCATGCACATTTGTACACTCACATGCACATACGTAGTGTCTATATGGAGGTCAGAGGATAGCTTGTAGGAATTGGTTCTCTCCTTCCACCATGTGGGTCCTAGGGATTGACCTCAGGTTGCAGGCTTGGCAGCAAGCTCCTTACCCACTGAGCCATTTCACCAGCCCTCCACAATAATGTTGACCTGGAAATGACTTTTTCAACTCTTTAGTCAAGTTATTTCACAACCAATGTGGAGTGACACATCTCACAATAAGAAGACTCCAGGGAGGTTATTAATAATTTGCTCCAATATTTATTTGCAACGATATTGTAGCGTCTCTTTGATTCTTGTTTATTTTTCAAAGGTACCGACCTCTGGATGTTTTTCTCAATAAAGAACTTCATTTGAGGGCCTTATATACATGGAATGACACCATTTTCTTCAGCCCAAAACCCTCAAAATATTCCAAAAATATTTTTAAAAATTAATTTTTAATTAATTTAAATTAGACACTCATTAAATTTGAATTGTTTTAGGCTGTTCAAAGTGAAATGTAAACTTCAGCATGATGCCCTTGCTAATAAATAGATATTATGTTTTATCAAATATGTTATGGCGTGAACTTCAGTTTAACTGAGGTCAGATCATCTTTTCTTTCTTTTTTCTTGTTTTTAAGACAATATCTCATTATGTTTCCAGTCTAACCTAGAACTCACCAAGATCCTCCTGTCTCAGCATCCTTAGCACTGGGATTATAGGTGTCAGCCCCTGTTTGGCTTTCAAATTATCTTCAATTTTAAGTTGCTGTTAATTGACAAGGTTTTAAAATATTTTTTCTACCACTTCAGAGCACCAATCAAGGGGTAGAATTGTCGGTGTCTGGCCGGGCAGGATTGGGCAGCGTACAGAGATAGCAGCGCACCAGATTAGCAGAGGAAATGAAATTAGGACAGCCACTGTAGGGTAAAGATAAAGTGTCCACATCCCACCAGAAGCAAATTAGGAGCACATATACAGAGGAATGTTTGCCACGTGCACAAGAAGGTATGAACTACCATTTAGTGACTCAGCAGACACTGAGTCAACTGTTACAGGGCCCTGCACATCAAATCACAATAGCATTGTTTCATTAATGACAAAATGGAAAATTGACACAGTATATAAGACAGAACAATTTGAAACAGATATGTCCATAAAACTTGAGACTAGATAAGTTACAAAAAGAAACTCAAAATATATGGCTATTTGGGTAAATTCTGAAAATACACCAAGTGATGTTAGCATCCCAGCAACCTCAGTGTTACGTGGGACCTCATTAGAAATGCAGAAGCCCAGGCCCCACCATCCCCACTGAGTCAGACCCTACGGAGGGGGCACAGCGGTCTTTCTTTGATCAAGCCTCCAGGTGATTTGTACACACAGGAAAGTTTGGGAAGCACTTAGATATACTGCACACGGACACATCCATTTGTAGTTAAAAATATTAAAATGTGGCTAAGTGAGCTCACAGCAGACTCAGAGCAGTGACTAAGGAGAGGAAGATGGGAAAATTAGAATTTAGAAGAGTGCAAAAGTTTTAATTTTTTTCTGTGACACTGTTTCTTTTAAAAATAGGAGACCGTAGCAAAACCTTAATATTGGTTAGTCTGAGTGGTGTGCTTATGGGTGTTTTTTTGTATTTTTCTCTGTATGATGTATGTTTGAAAATTGCTACAATGAAAACTAGTGGGAAATGAAGCAATTTTATCCAGACAATTAAAAGAAGTAAAACTGGTTCTTACTGAACCAGAAGTTCAGTAAGTACAGTCAGTGTCATGTTGATTATTATTTGTGTTCATTATTTTTAGGCGAGTCAGGGAATTAAACAGCAGCAACACTAAAAAGTTCCTAGAAGAAAGAAAGAGAGTGAGTATTTTACAATTTTCTTGGCATTCTTCTTTGAAAAACAAACCTGTGAACAAAAACTTGTGCTTAGGTCGCAGCCTTCCAGCCCATTCTCTCAGTTTGGTTTGTTTTTTTCTGTACATTAAATATCCCACCTCTTCTCTCCCCTGAAAGCCAAAGTAATCTCTTACTAACATTGAGGTAATAAGTGACGGCGTTTTGTGTGGACAGTGACGCCAAGCCTCAGTCATGTATAAGCACTCTACTGTCGTCTAAGATTCATGCAGGAAAGGTCTTCCCAGTGAGTGCTATGAGTTTAGACTCTTCAGTTTTCAGACTTTTTCTTTCCTTTTTTGAAAATTCTGATATCCCTCACTTAAATTATAAACTTAAGTCATCTATTATTCATAATTTTAAGACAACAACACAAAGTTGATCAGGTTTTGTTTTTCAGCTTGCGATGAAGCAGTCCAAGGAAATGGATCAATTGAAAAAAGTCCAACTCGAGCACCTCGAATTTCTAGAGAAACAGAATGAGCAGGTATTTCCCCGAATGCACATAGAAAGACCTAGGCAGCCAGGCAGCTCCAAGCGGACAGTACCATGGCTCCCAGGGACCCTCTAGAGAGGCCTGCGGCCAGGGAGTGCGGTGGAAGCGGAGAGAGCAGCTTGCTTCCTGTTTCACTGTATTTCTTCCATTTCATCCAAAAAGTACTTTTCACGGAGTGGGAGAGGAAAGTGGCTGGGGGGCGGGGTGTGTGAAAAGTTTTGAATATGTCGTAAAGATGGAGTCTAAGAGTGATGGTATTGAAAGGGATGAGCAAATAGTTTGCAAACTACTTTGACTATGCCTATAGGTGAGTGCAGTTATATTAAAAGCAAGAGGGGAACCCTCTATTTTCAGTGTGTCAATCTAAAAGTGAAGTTGTAGATCTTTCCTAGGGCTTCAGAGTGGGATCTAAATTTTTGCCCCTGTAACTCATATAGGTGGACAGTGTCCTGTCACTACTGTTTCTCAAAATAGAAAAACCCTAATTAGAGAGTACATACAAGATAGCTACCGAGACTCTACCTGGTCGGTTACCAAGAGCAGGATAAGTGTATTTTTACCTGACATGTGGTACAGTGAGCTCCATCCACATGCGCTCAGGCTCACTAGCCTTCCTTCCAACCTGATGGACCTCCCTCTAGCTCGTGTGGCACTATGATTCCAGTAAGGTTTAAATTTGAGTTTCACTCAGTTCCATTTCACTCTTGGTGTGGAAGTTGTACTTTGTCAATAAAGTACTTCAATTTAGAAGTCGTAAAGAGCCTTTGATGACAGAAGTGCTCGGGCTACATGGCTGTGTTCTATCCCTCCATCTAGAATGCAGCCCTATCAAAGGTACGGTTTTTGGTTTTTTTTAAGTAAATAGCTCACTCTGAAGAATCCTTAAGAAAGACTTGTATTTAATAGTACCCTTAAGAAAGGAGCACAAAACTATAAAGCTGTTTTTTATTATAACTTGGACAATTCCAATGTCTGGCTTCAAATCCTTTACATTCTCTTGGATGGAACTTTTAGTCATTTCGTGCTTCTGAACTAGGTTTTATATTCCCTTTTCAGCTAATTGTTTTTATGTCCAAAGGGAGACAAACCATGTTTATTGTCCTAGAAGCTCAATTCTTTTGACCAATTCACAAATACATTACATTCTGCTACAAATTTTGTAGCTTATAATTTTTGTTCTTAAGCTGCTTCTTAGAAGGTGTGTCCCTGGGGAGACACAAGACTGTGGAAAAGGGTGAAGCCACCATCTCCCAAGCTTCAGAACCCACTTCAGGGGTAGCAGGAGACAAAGATGCTTCGAGAAGGCTGTAATGATTCCTTAGAAGAAGGGCATGAGTAAAAGCAGTGCACAGTTATGTTTTAACCATCTAAATTAAGAAGCTATTTAGAAATTATGTGTTGCTTAGCAACAAGTTTGACTAAAGAATGTAAATGTGCTAAAAATTACTCATCACTACAATATTGGTGTAGACCAGAGCTAGAGAATACAGTTGCCTGGTATTGATAGTTTAAAAGCATAATAATAAGAAAATCACTTTGAGTTTTTATACTAACACATGGATAGTTCAAATCACATCAGAGCTCTTATGGTACAATGCTAGGTTACTGATAGTTGTATTGATTAGATCCTGGTGGAAAGGTGCTGGCTTTCTATTCTTAAAATTCATAGAATGCATATTAATGTCATGGGTAATATCTACCACCCACAACTGAGATTTTGAGTGGCAGAAATTTAGGAAAGCACAGAACATGAAAAAGATTCAGATATGAAAATTTAATGATACTCAAGGAAAAGTAAACCCAGAGATACAGAGCTTGCAAGTGCAGAATTTAGAACTGAATTAAAAGCTTAATTTTCTAAAAATCACTTGCTCCATAGCAAATGATGTCGCAGCTTTTTGTAGTAAGTGTATATAATTTAAAGGTGAAGACACAGTTCAGCTATCCTGTGTGGAACAACCCTCCCGTAGGTACAGCACAGAGGACACAGTGGTTCCATTTCTTTCCTCCTGAAGGCCAAGGCTGGAAGCGTGGAGCAGAACTCCCTTCGGCACTAATTACCATTTGTTTAACAACAGTTAGGATCTTCAGACCATACCAAACTCTAAAACAATTCTCCAAACCATCGTTAAGCCCCAAGATTTCTTTTCTGTTTATAGACCAAAGATAAACTAATTTAAATATCCTCACAATATTGCCCTTTGTGGTTTCTTCCTATTTTCCCCATTCCTTTCCTCCTCCCAACTGTGCCCTTACCAACCCCATAATAAAGTCCAGCAGATCTACTTAATTAACTAGACCATTGTCAAGGGCTTTGGGAGAAACAGCTCCAGGGCTCATAGGATTCGTCTTGATTCTGGATCCTGTGGCCTGTGTGAGATACTTTCTGGCCTTGCATCCTTGGTCAGATAGTTGCTCACTTAGAAATCCAAATGTCAGAGTTTTGTTTTGTTTTGTTTTGTTTTATTTATAACTTAGTTTTTCCCATAGTCTTCCCTGCCACACAGTATTTCATCTGTCTTGACATGTACCATTTCAAAAACATTAACGACTCCATTATTGTCACATTCAAGTCTTAAAAAAATTGATTTCTGTCATCAATCCTGTCATTCAATAAAGTGAGATAAAGGTTCAGCTAAAGGTCAGGCTCTCCACCACCCTCATGAAGAGGTGTAGTTTGGACTGACAGGCATCAGTTGTTTGTTTTGCTCTTTTTATTTTTGTTTTTCTGTTGAGCGCAGCTGGGGGAAGTTGTCACTGATGGGTGTGCACATGTTTTACTCTTAGCTTCTGGCTTTTCTGTATATGGTTTTGCATTCATTCTCAAAATCACTTCAGTATTCATTTATTTTCTTTGTTTTGTATGTATGACTCAATTTTGACATTACTATTTTTATACAAACAGCTTTTGAAATCCTGTCATGCAGTGTCCCAAACACAAGGTAGGACCGAAATTTTGATGCTAAGCAAGACCGTGGTTTCCTTCCAACCATGTCAGTGTTCCCTGCCAGCCTCTACCTATGAGTCTAATCTGCTCATAACTAAGTGCTCTCTTAAAGGGGTAGACTGAAAACCTTGACTGTTTCATGCCTGGATTGCCCATGCTATTCAGTCTGAAATGCCTTCACGTTCATTTGTGATGGTGTTTTAGCCAGCGTTTCCAGTTGTAGATCTGGGAATCGGGTCGTGATCATGAAGACAACGCAGACATTAAGAACAGACAGACATATACTGCTGTGTGGACCCATCACAGCTAAGACTGGGTCACAGCACAGTGAGCTTATTCACAAATGTGAGTGTGACACTAATTATGTTCACCACTGAAAGTTTTTGAGTGTTTTCCAATGATGGAGTGTTATGGTCTGTGTACAGAAACATTAACGATGTCTTTTGTCATGTTCTCTGCTAAGTCCATTATGCCAGTGACTCTGATCACCCCTTCTAAGGGGATTATATAACTTACTATTTGAAGCAGAAACAAGATGTTTTTGAGAAAGCACTGTTCGTAATAGCATCTGCTGCGTTGTCCCAGGCAATAGAAATGAATGGTCACCCCACTCACATAAGAACTTAACTCTCAGAAAAATCTTTTAATGACATATTCATTGTCTGTTATGCTCAATGGAATCTTTAAATGCAAAGGGGATGAAATGGAGGGAGTCTTTATTACTGTTTACTGAGCATCAGGTCATTTAATTCCCAGTGCTGGCAACGTTTCCCTGTCATCTCTTATGACTGTTTGTGTCATAGCTTCATGTTTCTATCTTTTCCTCCATTTCTTCATTTTCCTACGAGTATCACTAGACAGCAGGTGTGAAAAATTGTCTGAGTAGAGGGAACCATTACCCCAAATTTACACAGAGATATATGATTCTTTATTGTTATTATACCCATCCCCACCAAAATGAAATGTGAGAGCTGCATATTACAATAATACTAAAGTTATTGTGTTGTCTGTGAGTAAAACTGATTTCAATATAGGACTTTATTTAAGAGATTTGGGTATTTCCCATATGACTGGCATTGACCAGACACCTCCCTCTGACCTTCCATTTAGCGGGAATATCAAAGCAAACACGAGCAGAGCACTTCAGAATCTTCCTTCCAAAATATATCTTTATAGATTTTCATTTTCCGTTCTCACCTGACCTTTATTCCAACATGGTACATCGCTGAACAACAAAAAAAGGAGTGTTTTCTTTTCCCTCCCCCAAACTACATGCACACGGGCTGGGCAAACACATCTAGGCTGTGAGTTGGAGAGCAAAAGTTGCAATGAACTACCTGATTTTTCCCATATTGCCAAGTAATTATTTGTCACCACAACCTGCTTCCATAGACCCCATCCCACCTCTCCAATAAGCTGGTTGTCTTTGTGACTACCTTAATTCATGAGATCGATTCATCCTGGCTTATTTCCTGGCAGCCATAAAAACTTAATTATTCTAGAGAAGCAAAGGCTCCGGACTTTAGACAACAAGACTTTTGGAATCCTACATATTCCTGTAATGTTCTGTTTGTAGAACGCGCTAACCAAACCAATGTAATGTATATGTTCTTACTTGACCTCCATTATTTAGATTCCTAAGAAAATTGCTTTTAATTAAATTTAGTCTGTTTGGGAACTAAGTTATATATAAGCAGTGCTATTCTAAAGAAAAAAAAAATACCTACACATAGTCAAAGCAACATGTCAAACTAGAGAAACTAAACCAAACAATTTGATGTGATGGTTAAATATCCACTATCTGGCTGAACTTTTTTTCAGGTATTTTTTTCCTGGAACTGTGTGGGCCAGTCTTTCTCAAAATTTTATGTACATTAAAATTCCTTGGAGGATCTTTTTAGAATGCAGATGCAATTGTTCTTCAGTAAACTCCAAGATTCTGCATTTCGGAGAAGACACTAGAATGTTCTGAGCCCCCTCAGCTACTTGCTACACTTTGTGTTCAAGGATAGACCTGGGGGGAAAGGAGGTGAGGGGCAGTAGGTTTCTGCAGGAGAAGAGTTCAACATGTAAAGCTGTGTTTCTGGTGTTGTAGGCGAAGGAGATGCAGCAGATGGTGAGATTGGAAGCCGAGATGGACCGCAGACCAGCAACAGTAGTGTGAAACTCCAGAATGCAAACTGAAGCGGGAAAAGCAGGAAACATCGGGAGATCACCTCCAGCTTCTGAACACAGACTCCATGGCCAAAAGCTGTTTTCCTTTGTTTCCTTTATGTTTAGACACAGTGTTACCTGAACCACAGAGACTGGGGAAGACAACATTCTGTTTAACAACTTGAGTATTGAATTCCCTTGGCCAACCAAAAGTAGCTATGAATCCACAAAAATCTCCTATTTCCATTAGGCAGAGTTGAACCACTGATAACACAACTTAAACATGTTTGCTATAAGATATCATCACAAGTCAATGAGCTTAGTATAAGCACCTCTGCTTTGTGATGCATTAGGACATGTTTGAGCTGCTGCAAAATAGTGCATTAGTAACTTAATAGCAAGTGCATGCACTACGAGAAAAAAACACTCTGTCTACAAATTCATTAGCAGAAGTGCTGGTCTGCTAGACAAATAATTTTGCGGAAGTTTTCTACACCTAAGTTACCTCATCAGTAAGTGCCATGTCTTTACCATGCCATAAGAACCTAATTTCCTGTAAAAGTTGTGGAAATTATTAGAACAATAGAGACATAACAGAGTGTACCTGTGCCAAAGCTCATCAGTGCTCAAAGCGGGGACTCAGCAGGTTCGTTATAGAAAGTTTACGGCTGATGCTGCTTTGTAGGAATTGCTTCTGCGGATTCAATACTGCAGTTCACTAATACACTGTAAAGATTGTGAAGTGGTTATTGGCAGATGTTTGTAAATGTGACCATGTACAAAGTATTTATACTCCTTAATTCACAGTTATAGTGCAAAATCATCTAAGCATTACCACACAAAAGATTAGTAAACAGGAATAATAGAACTAATGTTTTGCATGATACACAAGCACCAATTAAGACTAACTGATTCAGACACAGTTAACCTAATACCAAATATACTGGTTAAGTAAATGTATGGCACAGAATATAATTTGACTATCAAGACTTTTAGCATAATGAAAAAAAGTCTATATAT